GGTGGTTCTGCCCTCCCAAGCCTAACTGCCACAATGTTCATAGCCTGGTACCTCAGGCTGTCCAACTGGTTCACAGTGAATGGATGTAGGTAATGCATTTTTGGCAACAAAGGGTGTCCATAAAGGTAGATTATGTGAGCCATGGAGAGACAGGTGAAACGAATGGCCAATTGAAGTTCCCCCATCTTCTTCAATCCAGAGGGTTTCAGAACGAGAAGAGGGTATGAGTTAGTGTAAATCCTATCCATTTCCAAGGTTGACAAACGAATCCTCACCTTGCCAATTCTTGAGTCAATTTTGGCTCCACTTCCTTGAGTTTGCCCTCCACCACCCAAATGGCAGTTGTCAAAGACCCCAAAAGTTATGACAGTGCAAGGGTCATACACTTCCCATGTGTATTGCTCATTCCATTTTGGATTAAAGCTCTCAGTGATTGTTCTAGTTCTCACCCATTTCTGACCATACTTGGCCACACAATAAGCATCTGTTGACCCTTTACCATTGTTGGTCTTCATAGATTGGAGCCCTTGAGCACTCAATATCCCCACTTCAAGAATCCCAATTGGCTGCTTCCAAAGTTGTCTAGCAGTTGGCCTTGTGTCACTAATATACATTGTGGATTCATCTAGCACATGATAAGCACCCTCAAGACACACCCTTAGGTGAATCCTACTTGAGAACTTGGCCTCATTCCTCTTGTCACCCTCCAGCACACCAAAGCCAAACCTCTCAAGGTTGTACCAGTGTGAGTGCACTGCTCGGTGATCCAAACGGATCTCAAACTTGTTAAGTGGCAAGGCTATTTTTGCCACAACCTCATCCTTTCCGGGGGAGGCCTTGTTCTCCACTGTGAGCACAAGCTTCTCCTCAAAGGGCTCTGCCGCCACAAACACCAAATCCTCATTCCACGTGGGGTTTGGTGTTTTTGTTGGACACAACTTGGTCTTGAGAACTTGTTGTCCGACTTGACCCTTCACAAAAACTTGGGGTGGCTGGCTTTTGTCCTGTGGCTCCACATCTTGAGCTTCAATTACGTTAACCCTGAGATACCATAGTTTTGGGTTAACATAAACCTTTGACCTTATATTATAAACCCCCTCTCCCTTAACCGAAGCAGAATCTGAATGCCAAGCCTCGGGAAATGCTTCATCAGCTTGTGTGCCCATCCAAACAGCAAGCATGATCTCTCCTCTACTCCTTGTTTCCCCCCTCAGATTCTCAAGCCTATACCACTGAGGAGCCAAAGGGCTATCTGGAGGTACCCTTGTGGGAACTTCATGCATGTCAAACACCACTTTCCCAATATAATCATCTCTAGCCACCATATCTTTGTCTCTCACAAACACCTCAACAACTGAGGACTGAATCTTCTCCTTTGAGAATGCAAAAACCTGCTTCCACTCAGGGCTGGTCTTCTTCTCAAAGTGCCTTGTTTTCCCCTTGTAGTTACCAACCTTCACTTCAACATAAGGATCAAGGTTGCTGGTGACAGGATTTGGTGGAAGGTCCTTGGCCTTCACAACACGGACATAGAGGTAGAACATCTGTTCCACCAAGTCATAGGTGCTTGTCGCTCTCTCGCTGTATATCCAACCACTCCCTCCACGTTGCCCTCCATGTGGCCACCGTTCTCCAAGCTCTGGCTTTGTGTCCTTCAACTTGTAGTCATCTTGGTTTCCCTTTGGTGCGGCTTGAGAACTCATAGTTTAAACTTTGGAAAGTTCGCCTTTCAAATTTCTTCTTGGTGCTCAACCTCTACGTTCATGAGTCTTGTGGTGAATGAAATATTGGAGGTTAAGGTCACAACTTCTATGTCCCTCTCAGAAATGAGAACCAGGATGGTAAATTGCTAGTGAAACTGATAACATGAAAATTGGACAGACAAAGATAGTGAAATTTTTTTTATTTTATTTGGATGCTTATGTCTTGAACCTGATTCCAATGATGGATGGTCTTACTAACTACAATGACAGAGATAGTGTAATTGGAGTCTATCAAAAATAGAAATGTGAGCCTTAAGTTTTATGACCTTTTATGACACTAACATGAAAGGAGGTTACATGTCCGAATCATTAGTGGCACACTGCTACTCCTCACTCCTTTCTTGCTTTATTCACTCTTTCTTCTTTTAACTTCGACTCAAATATGCTTGTGGTTTCCAAACTTCAATTGTTTTATTTCAGTCTAAATTTTAATCTAATCAATCTTATAAAGTCTAACTCAAATGCTATATCAACCGTGAATGTTTTTCTTCTTTCTACTATATATCATAAGATTTGTATCAATTTCAAGACACTTTCTCCTTGTGAATCCTTGTGCCAAACGCGCTTCAAGGATAGCTTTCTCCTTTCTGCAGTTTCCTTTTGTGTTTCTCTTGGGTGGAAAATTGAGCCTCTTCCAAAGGTCACTTTTATGAAAGCTAGAGAATATTTTTTAGTATAGAAAAATGAGGAGGAACCCATTAAAGATGGAAATGCTGATTGAGAAAATGGTATAAATTCGCTTATTTATTTATTTGGCTAAAGATATCAGTGTGCTTTCTAACTATGCTAGAGGAACATTCCACAATTATATATGTGCTTCATGTAAACGCTTTGATAATTAAAGTAGAGATAAGAAAAGCCACTCGTTAAAATTCCAATTTTTTTTTTGTAAAGGTTTATGGATACCCCACTTGAGAGGACAAAGAGAGTCTTTTAGAATAAAGTCGAGATTTTCCACAATGACAAATTTTGTGGTGGAAAGACCATTTTGCCCTGAACCTGTATTGTTTTGAAAACTTTGTTGCATTATATGAGACATGAGTGTTATAGTAATTTGAGAAGATGTACATGAATTGGGTTGAAGAAGACACAAGTAATATGGAAGAAGGTGAAAGAAGTGAAGGTTCGTTGAGGCCAAAGAAAAAAGAGAAAGCGTCCTTGAAAAGATGCTTTAGAACGTTATTCTCCTCTCTTTATTCGTCCTTGACTTAATCTTAGCAAGACATGGGAATTTTTGGTAGTGGGAATGGTGAGAAATTCCATACATGCATACTTTCACCGCCATAATGTTCCATTTTCAATAAGACTAACGATCTCCAAAAATAAACTAAGTTTTGTGGAAAAATAACTAAGTTTGAGCTCTTGAATTTAAGAAAATAATATTTAAATTTATTATTTTATTAAATTATTTGTAGTTAATTTTGTTAATATGATCCTACAACTTAGAAAAAATATGTACATATATATTATTGTAGTTTATTATATATATGCTAAATTTTGTTACTCATTTAAAAATGTTATAAGAAAATTTAATCTATATTTACTTTGCATTTAAACGAAAAGTATCATTCAAATAATTAATATGAAAATTAAACTTCATAACAGAATATAATCCAGAAAAAACATGTTGATGTTATAGAATAATATTATCAATATTTCTATAGTATCATTGTCAGATAAATTAAATTAATATAGTGATCTAACAAACTGTCACTGAATGAGGTGTGTTAAAATTGTTTTCTTTAACAATTTTAGAGTTTAAAAAGCGAGACAAAATAATTAATTTTTTTTCAAAATAACGCAAAAATATATATAAGCTATGTTAAGTTATGGAGAAAGTCATTTCATTTTATTTTTCTCTTAGAAGCAATTTAAAAAAAAAATTATCTTGTAAAAAAAATGGACTAAGAACACCATAACGTGTTAGAAAGGAATTCACTAACACCAGAAATTTAGATACATTATGTATTTTTGTTGGCTTGTACCTTCTTGTATAATTTTATCACATCTTATGTTAAATTTGGTTCTCTCATTATTATGAATAATATATTTTGTTTGGATTTTTTTTTTTTGAAAGAAAACTTCCATTCTTCATCCTTGAAATCAAAAACATTTTTTCTAATTAAAAAAAGAACTAAAATTGTGAAGTTGGGCATAACTTCTATAATTTTTTATAAGAAAAAAAAAACTATTACTGAAATTGTTAAACAACGACGACTTTTTACATTTTAAAAAACAAAAGTCATGTTTTATTATTACACGACTTATCTATTTGATAAAAAAGAAACCTATTTTATTATATTTTATAAAATTTTTATTTAAAAAATAATTGCCTTTATAATTTTATGTCAAAATAAAGTCACACAAAGTAAAACATATAAAAAAAATTGATATAAAGAGTTATAGAAAATAGATTTTAACCATACAAAGAGTAAAATAAGATTTACATTCATTTATATATTTTATTTTTGTATTACTTGAGATTTTCAAAAAATTAAAATTTTAAATGTATAAATGATTTAAAATGAAAAGTTTAGGATAAAAACTAACATATTATTGAAACCTATTTTGTAATTTCACCACACACAAAAAAACCTATTATCTACAAAATATTATCTACGGATAAAAATTTATAGATATTACCTACGGATAAAAATCCATAGATATTACCTACGAATAAAAATCCGTAAGTAAATTATATCTAATTGTATGTAAGTTATCCATTACCTACAGATAGGTAAATTATATTAAATTAAAAAGTTATTATTAATAAAAATCGAATCCATTATGTTAAAGTTAAAAACTGATATTCCAACCACTATAAGTTATTATTAAAATATTCTAATAATAAATTACAAATAAATTATATTTATATTTATTCGTATAAATATATAAATATAAAATATATAAATATAAAATATATAAATATATTTTATATTTATATATTTACACGTAAAAATACTATTATAATTTATTTATAAATTAATATCATCTTTAACTTTGACGTACTGACAAATTTTTTTATTCTGATAATAATTAATCTTGTAATTCGTACGCTACGAATACGTTGTTTTAAAGATGGTGTTTTACAACTATAAGAAATATTATTTATTTCCCAAACAAAAGACTAGACATATATTCCACCATTTCTTTAGACAAAATAATATAGTTATATAACAATTCACTTTTATATAATCTATAAATGATGAAAACTCAATTTTGCTGAATTCCCATAAACTAGAAGGAAAGTGAGAATCGAGGCACGGGGACACAGACCAAAGGATGTGCCCTGGGAAGTGTCATGGCTGGCTTTTCTTCCATGCTTATACTCCCTTCAACCTTCCACTCAAAGCACTGAACCATAGCAGCAAGGTTAGAGGGTATAACCTGAAGTGCGAGTGAGGCACCAGGACACACCCTTCTCCCACTCCCAAATGGCATCAGTTGGAAGTTCTGTCCCCTCACATCAAACTGCTTCTCCTCCCCCATGAACCTCTCTGGCCTGAACTCAAGAGGCTTCTCCCACAGCTTGGGGTCCCTTCCCATGGACCACAAGTTTACAAACAGCAATGTCTTTGCTGGAATGTCATACCCACAAACCTTGCTGCTCTCTGATGACTCTCTCCCTATGAAGGGCGATGTGGGGTGAAGCCTCAGGGTTTCTTTCACTATGGCTCGCATGTAGGGAAGGTTGCCAAGATCTGACTCTTGAATTATTCTACTGTTGTTTCCTGTCACTGATCCTATCTCTTCTCTTGCTTTCTCCATCACATTAGGGTTCCTGATTAACTCGGCTAGGGCCCACTCCATCGTTATGGCTGAAGTATCTGTTCCTGCCATGAATATGTCCTGTTCAAGGAAGAAAACTTGTGAGGGTTTGATGGAGAAAGTTTTGAGCATCTTGTGTTTGTACCACTTTTTGAAATTAGATTAACAATCCATGCAAGTTAGGTTACTCTTGAAGAAAAGATTTTATTGGGTGGTCTTCCTTGGCATTGGGTCTGTTCTGGCATAAAATAATTTGCGTACATAGAAAGGGAGAAAGGGACACAGTTTTATAATATATATGCTAATATGTTGGTTCACCATGGCAAAGGAAGCTATGCAATTAATCAAACAAAAGGAATTTGATTACCAAGATAAAAGCCTTGACATTTTCTATGGACAACTTCATCTCCCTGGTCTCATCTTGATGAATTTCCAACAAAATATCAAGCAAATCCCCGACCCTCTCCCCTTCCTCCCCTCTCTCCTTCCTTCTCTCCCTCTCCTCCTCATGCTCTCTTATCACCCTCTCCATCATCCCATCAAATCTCTGCAGAATCTCCACAAGCCTCTTCTTCATTCTCTGCAAATCCAACCCTTTACAGACCCAAACGAAATCTGCCAGATTGAACTTCCCCGCCAGCTCAGCAGTGTCCTCCACCATCCTCCTCACCTCCTCCACCTCCCCGTCGCTCTCGCAGCACGTCCGTCCCAACACCATCCTCGATATAATACTGTTCGTCAAAGTCAACAACTCCCCGCTGACATTCACGCTCTCACGCGCCTCCCCTTTCGTCCGTAACGCGCGCAGGAACCTTTTTGTAAAATTCAAAACCAGAAAACACCAATACTAGTTTACTTAAACTTAACATAAGAATTTAAAAATTAAAATATATTTTATAGTACGTATATGTTTTAATCAAATTATATTATTTAATTATAAATTACCTAAATTTGTGTAAGTCACGTGTAAACGTTAAAATGAACGTATCCACTGACCACAAGTTCATTAATTAATATTATAGACCAAGTCCTGAAATATTTCTTTATAGTTCTTATAAAAAAAAAGTTAAAATTATTTATTTTAAAGTTTTATAAATAAACACCAAACCTATTGGAAAAAGACAATACCTCAAATATTATGGCTTTCAGGAGATTTTACTAAAACAATACTCTATTAAAATCTTTGTTTATTTTTATTTTTTTTAAATTAAATTTTATTTTAATTATGACAAGAATTTAACAAAATTTTAAGGGTAGTATCATATATTCCATTAAATGTAAAAGCTGATATTAGTAAGGTTGATTAGTTCAAAGTAATAAATATAAACAAAATATTTTTTTTATTCTATAGTTAAGATAAACCGTATATATAATAAGGGTACGAGTGATGATTGACAAACACTAAAAAAAATTATAAAAAAAAAAACACCATTTCAATCCCTCTTATTTCTATTTTTAATTATACAATTAATTTATTATGTTTAAATTTAAATTAAAACTATCAAATCGCGGGTGAGAAGAATAATATTGTTATTTTACATCACATGTAAGTAATTAATAATTAATTTTGATTCAATAATTTTTTATATTAACTATTTGATTAAATGATTAATCCGGGATGTTGTAAGAGTATACATACCTTAGAGTCTCTTGTTCCCTGACGTGGAGGAACTGGTCGAGGGTGCGGCCACCGAGAAGCTCCGACATGCAAATCTTCTTCATGAACTTCCAGAACTTTCCGTACGGCGCGAAGAGGAACCCGTTCGACCCGTACGAGAGGTGGTGAACCGCCTCGCTTATGAACCGGTTCAAGAAGCTCCCCTCGTTCGTTTTCAGGAACTCTTTCGCCAGTTCCGGACACGAAATCACCACGCACGAAACGGACCCCAGAAAGATCTGCATGATGGGGCCGTAGCGCGTGGAAAGCTCGTGGAATGACCGGTGAGGGAGGGCAGAGATGAGGTGGAGGTGGCCGACCACTGGGAGGGAGGGTGGTCCCGGTGGACGGCGCAGCTGGCGGCGCGTGGACACGAGTATGACGCGAACCACGATGGTTAAGAGTAGCCAGAGGAAGAAGAGTTGGAGATAGGTTTGAGTTTGTGTTTCGGCCATGACTGCGCGCAAGTTCTGAAACATGTTGAAAATATTTCGTGTCTCGTATAGAACGAGAGAAAAGACGAGGTAACAAACAGACAGAAAATATTATAAAAAATAGAGAAGTCATATATGGACAACCTCGTGTAAAAAAAAATCTTGGGACAACTCATTTTGTTTGGATAATAATCATGAACGGATAATATAAGAATAAAAATAATTTAAAATTAATATTATATTTTTAAATGAAATTATTGGAAGGATGTTTGTTAAAAAGAGGTTGTCAAATAATTTAAAAAAATTATATATGAAAGATGAGAGTGTCTTTGTCACGAGAAAAAAACTCTTCTTCCTCCATGATTTTTGGTTACTTGAGAGGCGATAACACCACGAAATATTGGGTGAATAGTGTTGAAAGGGAAAGATCGAGTTATGGGATTTTATGTTATTTTTTGGAATATATATTCTACTAAAGACGAGTTGTATTTATCAAATTGCAAGAAGAAGATGATGATGAGTAAGACTTGAACGCAACCTACAGGACTTTTTATACTTCTTTCAACCAACTTTTTCCATTAACATCATGCGTATATAGAAGAGATTTTTTTCCGTAAGGATTTATGAAAACATGATTATCTTTCTATCACTTTGTCAAGGTTCACTAATTGGTTAACCATTTAGAAATCGATTCTGCCATCTCAGATTCACTATCTTGGTTCAACTATAATATTAAAGTCCCATAAATTTATCTGTTACTCCCATTGGTCACTGCACAGTTAACTTTTATTGTAAAATTTAAATTAGATGTTTAGTATTGTTAGAATAATATTAATGATTTTAATTACTATTGATATAATCAATGACACTATTACAAAATATACTTTCTACGTCGTTATTTAACGTCGGTTATAGCTGAGACGACGTAGAAAGTACTTTCCACGTCGGTTCTCAAATGAACCGACGTTGAAATTGAATATTAAACACATTCTACGTCGGTTCTTAGTCAACCGACGTAGAAAGTACTTTCTACGTCGGTTCCATATGAGCCGAGCGTTGAAAGTCTTTTTTTATTTTATTTTTTACTTAATTTTAGATAGCGATTATAAGGGAACCGCTATCTAAAGTGTATATTAGATAGTGGTTATAAGGGAACCGCTATCTAATATACACTTTAGATAGCGGTTCCTTATAACCGCTATCTAATATGCACTTTAGATAGCGGTTCCCTTATAACCGCTATCTAATATATACTTTAGATAGCGGTTATAAGGGAACCGCTATTATATCCTCTCAATTATGATCGATCATTTCAAGTTATGATCGATCAGAATCTAATTTCGCTCGAGCGAGGGTAGTGTCGCTCAAGCGAAATACAACCCGAGAATGCTAATTTTGTGCAGGGGGCGTTTCGCTCGAGCGAGAAGGGTGTCGCTCAAGCGAGATACATTTTAGATAACGGTTAACCTGGAACGTCTATTATATTGTTTCAATTATGATCGATCATAATGCAGTTATGACTGATCAGAACTATTTTAATCGATTAAATCTCGTTTCAATCGATTAAAACAATTTCTGCACAGCGTTTTAATCGATTAAAACTTATTTTTATCAGTTAAAATTACTTGAAAAGTGTCACGAGAAAGTTTTGCAGTATTTCAATCGATTGAATCGCGAAACAATCGATTAAATCAACTTAGAAGATTTTTTGTAAAGTGTTTTAATTGATATAAACGTTGTCGTATCAGTTAAAACAAATCTGTTAAAGAATCAAGAACGTATTAATGGATTAAAAGAAGTTTTAACAGATTAAAAGAATCTTTTAACAGATTAATTAAACCAGCAGTTTTGAAAATCTTCTATAAAAACAGTTTGGCTTGAACTTTTTTAACATACATTGAATATATCATCTTTTACACATCCTTGAGCAATCAATCAATCGCTAATTGCGACCGAATTAAAGTGGGGGTTGGCTCGAGGTTAGAGTTCGACGTCACTAGGGTATGCGTTAGGGTTCGAGCTCCGCTGGGTTTGCGTTGGGTTTCACAGCATGACAATTGGGTTTGGCTTGACATTGGGGTTCGATGTCGCCAGAGTTGGGGTTCGGCCTCGAGTTCGTCGAGGTTGAGGCTGGGGTTGAGATTCGAAGTTACTATTTGACATTTTTCTAGTAGTGATAATTACACGGATATATATTTATTTGTATATAAATATAATTTATTTGTAAGTTATTATCAAAAAATTCAAGTAGTTTAGTGGTTGGAGTATTAACCTCCAACTCTAAAGTACTGGGTTCGAATCCTGCCAATGACAATTCTCTTAAAAATTAAAAAACTTCTAAAAAATATAATATAAAGAGATGGAGGACCTAATAAAAATATAATATGAAGAGAGAGGAGACTTCTAGATAAATAAAAGGGGGTAAAGGGGTTGTAAATAAATAAAAATTATTAATTTAAAAAATCATACTTTCAACGTCGGAAATAAGGGAACCGCTATCTAAAGTAAAAACTTTAACGTCGGTTTATTAGAACCGACGTTGAAAGCCTTCCAGAACCGACGTTGAAAGCTTTATTTGTAGTAGTGTGAGTTGTAAACCTATTAATAGGTATCATAATTTATTTTTAAGATTTGAAGAGACAAATATTTTGGCCATAAATACCTGTAACAACTCATTTGGAATAACATAAGGAGAAAAATATTGAGAGTGTTGTTTCATTTCCTATTACTAACAAATTGACATCAGAGCTTGTGTGTAAGGTGAGCGTGAGAGAACCCACCAAGCCTCAAGAGAGAACATCGCAGTGTGTGCTGACTGAGAAAGAGAGAGGAGCGACTCAGAGCTTTGTGAGGCGTGTGAGTTGAGTGAAAATACTTGAGAGGAAATGACAGGTCTAACCAATGACATCTCGCTACCCAAGTTGACGAAAGGCACCAACTATGATAACTGGAAAGTATAAATGAAGGTTCTTCTCGACTCCCAAGATAACTGGGATGTGGTCGAGAATGAGTATGAAGAACCGACGAACACAAATGGGTATTCAAATTCCCAGCTGAACGCATTGAAATTCGTTCGAACTAAAGACAAGGCGGCTCTGTATCTACTATACCAAGTCGTCGACGAATCTGGCTTTGAGAAGATAGCTAACGCAAAATTGATGAGTGGATAAAATATCATTACATTCATGCATTAATTTAGGTTAATTTCATATGTTGTTGCATTATGAGAATGATTTCATCATGCATTATCATTGTTTTGGATCATACATGTTGGTTTGTGCATTGTTCTTGTAAATAGGTGTTTGGAGGTTTGAATTCATAGTTTGGAGGGAGTTGGTGTCAAGATAGAAAGATTTTAGATCAACAAGTTCCACAAGTACCTTGTGAAATGTTCCACAACCTGTGAATTTGATACCAGAATGCAAAGATCAAGATCAGAAAGCTCCACGGGTTGATTGTGGATTTTTCCATAGCCTGTGAATTAGACTCCAAAAGATTGCACGAAGTCAGAGAGCTCTACATGTGAGTTGTGGATGTTTCCACAACCTATGGATTTGTGGTTCAGAATGCACAGTTGAAGTTAGAGAGTTCCACCCTATAAAGAAGGTGGAACAAAACTGAAAAAGGGGGGCTGGACAACCATTCTGGATGTTTACGTTCTAGTTATTATCTTTTAGCAATTTTTACATTATGCATAACTGATTTTTTTTTTGTTAGAGGATTGATGTAGTACTCTGAATTATATTTTTTTGTTCTTGACAATTGATATTTAGTTAATGTTCTTTATCTCAGTGTTCTATTTATAATTTTCAAGTTCATTCCACGAGCAGTTTCACAATTGGGAGATTGGAGGTTGTTCGCGATCCTAAATATAACAGGTTAGGATTTGTCACAATTGGGAAATTGGGCATATATCTAATTAGTTTGCAATAGAGAAGATTATTGTTTTTTCATGATTCTATTGAATGGCGTAACTGACCTAAGGGATTGGGGGTTCGGATTCAATGAATAGTTTTGCCTACTAAGGGATTAGGGGTAAAATAACTCTGGGTAAACTCAAGTGGATCATTACATTTCTTGCATCGATTGAAATGATTGAAATTATATAGGAAAGGGTATGCAATCAATTCTCTAACAAATCTTATTTTGACTAAAGTTCTTATTATAATTTTGTGTTTGCTTGTTTTTCCAAATTTTCAATTGCTCAAACTTACGTAAATTAGGAGTCTAGTATTCAACAAATTTAATCCCAGAGGATGATATTTTATTACTACGTTAACAATTGGTGCACTTGCCAAACGTTCATAAAAAATCTTCCAAAGTAGCATGGGATACACTTGAAAAAGCAAACAAAGGAGATGAACGGGTGAAACAAGTTCGACTTCAAACCCTTAGGGGCAAGCTGGAAAACATGAGGATGAAAGAGCCTGAAAGCGTATCCGAGTTCATTACTCGGGTGGAGACCGTGGTGAACAAGCTGAATCAGAATGGTGAGAGTTTTTCATCAAATCGAGTTATTGAAAAAATCTTGAGATCATTGACAGATGATTTCGAGAATATTGTGTGCGCAATAGAGGAGTCCAAAGATCTATCAACGCTCACCCTTGAAGAGCTTGCTGGGTCCTAGAAGCATATGAGCAGAGAAAGAAAAACAAGAAGGGGGAGTCCCTTGAACATGCTCTCCAAGCATAGACGACAATAAAAGAGGAGAAGATGCTCTATGCTCAGAGTATCAGAGGCCGAGGAAAAGGCAGAGGTCATGGTGGTAGAGGAAAAGGAGGACGAGAAAATGAGCAAGACGGTCAACAGAACTGGCGTGGCCAAGGACAGGCTCGGGGTGGCCGGACAAACACAAATAATATTGAATGTTATATTTGTGGGAAGAATGGGTATATTGCAAGGATTGTTACTCGGTAAAATACTATAATTGTGGAAAGAATGAACATGTTGTCAAGGACTATTACTCCGTAAAATGCTATAATTGTGGAAAACTGGGTCATATTTCTAAAGATTGTAGGTCCGAGAAGATAAAGGAGGAACCAACAAACTTTCTTGCTAAGGAAGAAGATGTGGTGACAAACATTTCAGAAACTAAGATCAAACCGAACTGTTCTAATAACTCGGTTTGGTACTTGGACACCGGCGCTAGTTACCACATGTGTGGTGACAAACGCTTATTCAGAATACTTTCAAAGGTGGAGTCCGGATTTGTTTCTTTCGGTGATGCTTCGAAAGTAGCTGTCAAAGGTCAAGGAACGATCTGGTATCAATAAAGAAATGAGAAAATCGGAGAGATCAGATATGTATACTACGTACCTGATCTCAAAAGCAACATATTGAGCATGAGACAGTTAATGGAGAAGGGGGTACTCGGTTCTGATGAAGGACTGAGAACTATAACTGAAGGATAAATTCAGGAGGCTTATTGCTTTGGTGGAAATGAAGAAAAATCGCATGTACAAACTTGAGCTGAAAACAGTTCAAGATAAATGCATGCAACTTGATATGGAGGATGAGACCATGAAGTGACATTTTCGGTTTGGTCATCTTTACTTTGGTGGGTTGACTACACTGCTAGAAAAGGAGATGGTGCTCGGAATGCCTAAAATAAAATTCGAAAAAAGGTTTTGTGAAGAATGTGTGATTGGGAAGCAAGCGAGGACTTATTTCCCAAGAAGTTCTGAGTGTCGAGCAAAGCAGCAACTCGGAGTGATCCATACTAATTTGTGTGGGCCAATAACTCCAGAATCTTTTAGTGATAAAAGATACTTTGTCTCTTTCATTGATGATTTTTCAAGGAAAACATGAATTTATTTTCTGAAGGAGAAGTCAGAAGTGTTTGAAACTTTCAAGAAATTCAAAGTAATGGTGGAGAAAGAAACAAGCAAAGTCATCAAAGCAATCCGATCTGACAGAGGAGGCGAGTTTACTTCTACTGAGTTCAACAAATACTGTGAGGAACATGGGATCAAATGTTTCCTGACTGCCCCATATTCTCCGTAGCAAAACGGTGTAGCGGAATGAAAGAACCGAACCATTCTTGATATGGTTCGATCTATGTTGAAAGGGAAGAATATGCCAAAGAAGTTTTGGGCAGAGGCGGTGCAGTGCGCAGTCTATTTTCAAAATAGACGTCCACATGAAAAACTAGGTGAGAAGACGCATCAGGAGATATAGAGTGGTATGAAGCCGAGTGTCTCTCATCTAAAGGTGTTTGGTAGCATGGCCTATGGGCAAGTACCAAGTCAGCACAAGACTAAATTAGAAGATAGGAGTAAGAAGTACATATTTATCAGGTATGATGGAAAATCTAAAGCGTATAAATTGTTTGATTCTGTTAACAATAAAGTGGTGGTAAGCCAAGATGTTCACGTGGAAGAAACAAAGCATTGGTGCTGGAATAACCCGGCAGAGGAAGAAACTAGTTCAGAAATTGTTTTGTCTTCAACAATAACAACTATTGAATCATCAGATAAAGAAATAGAGTCACAACAGTCCAAGATGAGAAGTCTGTAGGAAATATACGACACTACAAATGAAGTTCATGTTGTATGTCTTCTGGCTGAATCTGAAGACTTGAGTTTTGAGAAAGCTGTCCAAGATGAGAAGTGGAAAACAGTCATGGATGAGGAGATTAGAACGATTGAACGCAATAAAACTTGGGAACTGACTGACCTTCCTAAAGGAGCTCGACCAATTGGAGTAAAATGGGTGTACAAAAGGAAGATGAATGTTGAGAGAGAGGTTGAACGTTACAAGGCTCGACTTGTGGTGAAGGGCTATAGACAAAAGGAGGGAATCGACTATGATGAAGTATTTGCTCCTGTCACGAGAATGGAGTCAATCCGACTTCTGATTTCATTAGCTGCTCAGAACCAATGGTCGATTCTACAGATGGATGTGAAGTCAGTATTTCTAAATGGAGTGCTGAAAGAGGAGGTGTATGTTGAGCAACCACTCGGGTACATAAGAGAGGGGATGAGAAAAATGTGCTGAGATTAAGAAAAGCTCTCTATGGGCTGAAGTAGGCTCCTCGTGCCTGGAATGAGAGAATTGATGGGTATTTCAAGAAAAATGGATATGAACAATGTACATACGAGCATGCTTTGTACACAAAGAAATCAAAAACAGATATGATAGTAGTCGTTCTTTATGTCGACGATCTCATATTCACCGGAAGCAATACGAAGCTAATTAAGGAGTTCAAGGAGGTAATGAAGAAAGAGTTTGAAATGACAGACTTAGGGCTGATGAAATATTTTCTTGGCCTAGAAGTGGAGCAGTTAGAGGAAGGAATTTTTATATCCCAAGAGAGGTACGCGCTTGAAATTTTAAAGAAATTTAAAATGGAGGACTGCAACCCGATTTCTACTCCAATGGAACCGGGCACTAAACTCTCAAAGTTTGATGGAGGAGAACGAGCTGATTCTGGGAGATATCGAAGATTAATCAAAAGTCTGAGGTACCTTATAAGCACAAGACCCGACATAATGTTGAGTGTTGAGATAACAAGCAGATACATGGAGAATCCAAGCTACACACATTGGAAGACTTTAAAGAGAATTCTGAGATATGTTCGAGGAACCTTATCACTTGGTCTTTTTTATTCAAAATCGGATGACTACCGACTAGTGGGTTACTCGGATAGTGATTGGTGTGGTGATGACCGAAAAAGTACTTCAGGTTATATGTTCCTACTCAGAAAGACAACTTTTACTTGGCTGTCAAAGAAGCAGTCCATTGTAACTCTGTCAACCTGTGAGGCCAAGTATGTAGTGGCCTCTTAGAGTGTGTCATGCAATTTGGCTTTCAAATTTACTAAGACATCTGGGAGTGATCCAAGACAAAAGGATTGTAATTCGAGTTGATAACAAGTCGGCGATCGAGTTGGCAAAGAACCTGGTTAATCATGGAAGGAGCAAGCACATCGACGTCCGATTTCATTTCATCCGAGAACAAGTTAGAGAAGGAAAGGTTAAACTGGAGCATGTTAAAAGCCAAGCTCAAGCTGACATAATCACCAAACCACTACCAACTACACTGCTGGAGAGTTGTAAAAGACTTATTAAAATAAAAGATGAGTTTTAATTACGAGTGGTATAATCAATGAATTGTAAACCTATTTAATAGATATCATAATTTACTTTTGAGATTTGAAAGGGTAAATATTTTGACCATAAATACTTGTAATAACTCGTTTGAAATAGCAATAACTCATTTAAAATAGTAGGAGAAGAAATATTGAGAGTGTTGTTTAGTTTCTGTTAGTAACAACTTTTACGTACATATGATAATTGAAAACCTAACCCTTGTGTGCTGCATGTTTATTCTTGGTCTTTAAGTCGAGTGACAATGAGAATTAGCATGACACGAGTCTTTGTTTTGGGATACAAATCATGGATTGAGCTCTTGAAAGAATAAATGAGGGTCCCTCTTTCATGTCAACACTGCCACAATATTCTTCGTTGTTTTCTTCACCCTTCCATTCAAAGCACTGAATCATAGCAGCAAGGGTGGTGTGAACAACCTTTAGTGCTAGTGAAGTTCCAGGGCACCCTCTTCTTCCACTTCCAAAAGGCAAAAGCTGATAATGTTGTCCCCTGAGATCAACTTGACCCATTTTTCCGCTCTCATTGTCTTTGCTAAGAAACCTTTGTGGCCTAAACTCAAGAGGGTTATCCCAATGCTTTGGATCCCTACCAATAGCCCACACATTAGTGAAAAGCTGAGTCTTTCCTGGAATGTCATATCCAGCAATGGTGCAATTCTTAGTTGACTCTCTCAATACAAATGGAGATGGAGGGTGAAGCCTCAGTGTCTCCTTCACTATGGCTTGGAGATAAGGAAGATTATCTATATCTATTTCCATTACCATTCTGTCTTTGCCAATGATGCAGTCAATCTCCTTCCTTGCTTTCTCCATTACTGTTGGATGGTTAATTAGTTCTGCCAGTGACCACTCTAGAGTAACTGCAGTTGTGTCTGTCCCACCTGTGAACATGTCCTGAGAAATTATAAAGACAAATTGTTAATCACTCAAAATCTTAGCATGCTTCTATAGAATTTATGGGTTGTGAAACAATATTAAATGATAAGATCAAGACTCAAATTTCATAATTCTATGTTATACAACTGAGGCAGTGGTAAAGGAAAAATATATGGAGTTTGTTAAGGGTTTAAAATTACACATGACGAGAATAAAGAGTTTCTCTCTTAACCCTTTTAACACATTACAATTTTAAATGGTAAAATTGTAATAATTAAATAAACTTTACTTATTTAGATAATAGATTGCAATGATATAAGTTAATAGATATGAGCTTCGGAAACTATTATTATACTACAAAAATATTTTTTATTTTTTATTTTCTGGACTATATATTTTTTATATTTATAATCTTTAACATAATTTATATCATTATAATAATAACATTTATTATTTTATAAAAAAATATTATTAATAAATTTAATTATATATTTTAATATATTATAAAAATATTATTTTATTAAATTTCATTCAATCCGTTAAACTTTTAAATCTAACATATATATTATACTATAATGATGGAGCCACTGTATTGGATTGTGACTGACTAATTTGGTGCTTATGCTTATGCAGTATTAACAAGAGGTCTTTTTATAAAATCAGTGAGAGATTAAAGTTAGAGTTAGAATTTAATTAAGTGAAGCACTTGCATATAAACAAGGAAGTTATAGACTGTCAAATTTTAAAGGAGTCATAATATATTGACACTCAGGTCGAAAAATATATTTATTAGAAATCTTATTTATTAATATTATATTTATAAAGTGTTTTAATTAAAATAAAGTTAATTAGAAATTAACATTTTATTAATATTATATCTATAAAGTAATTTCAATTAAAATAAAATTAATTAACAATAAGTATTTTATTTAAATAAATCAAATTGTTAATTGGTTGAATGGTAAAATTAAGCTATCTATTCTAAAGTGGTGTTCCTCGAGAATATTACCACTAATAAGGCTTTAATGTTGTCTCTGGTTATTTTCACATCTGAGCTTTCATCTTCAGAAATACTCAAAAGAGCATCGAGAACATCTTTTGGAGCATCCTTTCTGGTCGATTTATTTCTTGCATCTTCATGTTCCTGAATGATACTTTCCATCATGATGTCGAACCTCTCACGAACCTCCTTCATTCTCTTCCCAATTCCCTGAAGATCCAATCCCCTACAAAACCAGAAATAATCTGCTAGGTTAAACATTCCACTCACCTTGGCAGAATCCTTCACCCTTTCTGTCACTTTGTGAGCCTCATCCTTTGAAACAGCTTTTTCCTATTGCCATTCTCATTACTATGTTGTTTGTTAGCTTCAAAAGCTCATTTCCAACGTTCACACTCTCGCATGCTTCACCCTTCTTTTTCATCATCAGCACAAACCTGTTTATTGTTAGGATCAGAGTACCAGCATAAATATACACAACTAAAATAGAGACGAGAAAAATAACCCTGACAATAGGCAAAAATGAAAATTTTATAATGACCACTCTTTCCTTTTACAATTGGAAATTACCAATACTAGGAAAGTAAAAGAGAAAGAAGGAGAAATTTTGGGATGTATGAAATAAGGGGGGAGGGGCTCCTTTTATAAGAAGGAGGAGAGCCCCCAATTGAAGTTCCCACGGATGTGGGACTTCTTCCTTCACAATCTCCCACTTGAAGATTTTGATGAAATTAATCAAATCTTCACACTATGTCTTCTTCTCTCACATCCATGTTGCTTATGCTTCCGATAGGCCATAGAGGGATCGACTCCATATAAACTTGTCAGCATTAACCGGTTTTGTCATTACATCTGCTAGGTTCTTTTCAGTGTGGATCTTCTGTAAGTCTACACTTCCTTCTTCTACTACTTCTCGAACAAAATGATATCTTATTCCTATGTGTTTTGTCCTCGAATGAAAGGCTGGATTCCTTGCAATGTGTAAGGCACTTTGACTATCACAGTACACAACAATTTGTTGTTGCTTGTGACCAAGTTCCCCCATTATTCTTTTAATCCAGATAGCTTCTTTACATGCTTGGGTGACAGCCATGTATTCAGCTTCCGTAGTAGACAGAGCTACCACATCTTGTAACTTGGATAACCAACTTACTGCCCCTCCATTGATGGTAAACACATAACCAGGTAGTAGACTTCCTTTTATCCAGATCACCTGCAAAATCCGAATCTACATAGCTTCGACAACCGCTTCGATCCTCCATAACATAATGCAACATTTGAGGTTCCTTTTATATACCTAAGGACCCTCTTCACATTTTGCCAATGTTCTCCACCAGGATTCCCCATGAATCTACTAACCACTCCCACTTGCTTGTGCAATGTCCGGTCTTGTACAAATCATGGCATACATAAGACTTCCCACTGCTGATGCATACGGTACTCGAGACATTTCGATCCTCTCCGCTTCACTGCTAGGACTCATACTTGAGGATAACTTACAGTTGACAGGAAGTGGGGTAGAAATTGGCTTGCAATCTTGCATGTTGAAGCGCCGCAAGATCTTAAGTAAATAATTCTTTTGAGAAAGCCAAATCTTCCTATCTTTTCTGTCTCGGTGAATTTGCATCCCTAAAATCTTGTTTGCTGGTCCCAAGTCCTTCATATCAAACTCCCTAGCCAATTGTGCCTTCAATTCTTGGATTCGAGCTTTGTTAGGGCCTACCACCAACATGTCATCCACATACAACAACGAATATGATAAAATCATTTTCTTCAAACCTATTGTGGTAAGTACAATGGTCCGAACTTAGTCCGTAGTATCCGAGGCTAATAATGAAGGAATCAAATCTCTTATACCAACACCTTGGCGCCTGCTTTAGACCAGTATAGAGATTTTTTTAACTCGCAAACCAAGTTTTCTTGCTCTTTGAAGCCTTCTGGTTGGAGCATATATATTTCCTCTTCAAGTTCTCCATGAAGAAAAGCGGTTTTACATCCAATTGCTCAAGATGTAAATCAAATGCAGGCACACATCGCCGGGACAATTCCGATTGTTGTCAATCTAACAACTGGTGAGAATATCTCGTTGAAATCAATGCCTTCTTTACGAGCATATCCTTTTACCACCAGTCTAGCACGATATCTTTCTACTTGATCATTGGCATCTCTCTTGATCTTATAGACCCATTTGCAACCAATGGCTCTGCGACCTTTTGGAAGTTCCACAAGATGCCATGTCTTGTTTTTATGAAGAGCTTCAATTTCTTCTTCCATAGCAGCCATCCATAGAGGAGCTTCTGAACCACTCACGGCCTCTTGAAAAGTTGAAGGTTCTCCTTCTTCACTTAGGAGACAATACGCATCATGACTTGCCATCACATATTGTGAATGCCAAGATGGTCTGACTCTTTCTCTTGTTGATCGTCGGAGTTCTCCTTCTTCCACCTCATTTGGCTCATGTTCTTCATGCTCCTCCTTTAACTCGGAGGAATGTTCCGAAGTCTTCTTCTCTATCTCGTACTATAGTCTTGTCCTTTTCCGAGCTGTCATTTATCCGCTTGCTTTGCAGTTCATTTTCACGCAAAGACGACATCTCTGCTAACAATAACTTTGTGGGCAGTGGGATCCCACAAGCGATACCCCTTCACATTGTCAGCATATCCCAAGAAGATGCATTTCCTGGATTTTGGATCCAACTTCGTCCTTTCTTGGGTGTTGTACATCACGTACGCGGGACAACCAAACACATGTAAGGAAGAATAATCGGTTGATTTTCCACTCCACATTTCCATAGGAGTTTTCAACCCAATTGCTGTTGATGGAGACCGATTTATCAAGTAACAGGCAGTATTCACGGCTTCGCCCGTAAAGACTTTGTTATGCTCGCAGCTTGCAGGCATAGCTCGGTTCTCTCTAGAAGAGTTCTATTCATCCGCTCTGCTACACCATTCTCGTCGAGGCGTGTGTGGAACGTAAAATTGTCTCACAATTCCTTCTTGCTTGCGAATGCTAGAAAATCTCCATCTACATATTCTCCTCCATTGTCTGTCCTCAAACACTTGATTTTCCTTCCGGTCTCAAGTTCTACTTGTGCTTTGAAGTTTTTTAACCGCGCAAATACTTCGGACTTCTTCTTGATAGGGTATACCCATAATCTCCTCGAGTAGTCATCGATGAACGACACAAAATATTTTGCTCCTCCGAGAGATAATTCCGGTGATTCCCGGACATCGGAATGGATCAAGTCCAAAGTTTGCTTACTCCTTGTGGTGGTTCTTGCAAACTTCAACCCGTGTTGTTTGCTTGTCACACAATGCTCACAGAAGGGTAAATCGACCTTCTTGAGCCCAGGTATGAGATCACGTTCCGCAAGAATCTGCAGACCTCGCTCCGACATATGTCCAAGTCTACGGTGCCACGTTATCGCCGCTTCTTCTTGGCTTGTCGACGCAGCTTGTTGCATGATTTTCTTGCAAGGTGTCTCCTATAAGTACATACAAGTTTGCCATGATTTTCTCCGCTTTCATGACAACTATGTTTCCCCTCACTGCCTTTAAGATTCCTCCTTCAACATGGATCTTGCAGCTGAGGTCATCCAATTGCCCTATAGACAATATATTTTTCTTCAAGTCCTTCAAATGTCGTACTTCTTGGATTGTGCGAATAGTACCGTCATACATTTTTAATTTGACAAGTACCAACTCCAAGAATCTCCAATGCATGGTCATTTCCCATGAACACGGATCCACCCGAGATAGGCTTGTAGGTTTGAAACCAATCTCGGTGTGGGGTCATATGCCAAGTTGCACCTCGAATCCATTATCCACTTGTCATGAAATTCGTTTCCGCCATTAGAGTTGATTGTCGCTTCGCTTACCGTAATTACTCCTTCCTCCGAAGTACTCGCAATGCAACCTTGTGAGGTTGATTCTTCATTCTTCCTCTTCCAACACTCTTTCTTCGTGTGCCCTTTCTTGCCACAAGTAGTAGCATTTAAATTTGAAAGTCTTCTTGTTTCGAGAGCTCGATCTCGCCATGATCTTGACTCCCACTTGAGCCACGTTCCGTTGATCTTCCTCTCATCATCGTCAAAACTTCTGCTTGTTTAGAACTTTCTACCTTATTCATTCGCTCGGATTCTTCTTCTAGAATAGCTCCAGCAACATCGTCAAAGTGTAGTTGTCCTTCAATATTATTATTTGTAATGTTGATGATGAGTTGATCATACGAGTCTGGCAAGCTCTGAAGTAAGAGCTCCGCACGCTCATTCTCAACTATGTTGAAATTTGTCGCCGCTAATTGGGCAAACAAGGTGTTCAGTTGGTTGATGTGGTCCGTCACCGATGTGGACTCACTCATCCGAAGAGTATAGAGTTTCCTCTTCAGGAATATCCTTGTGTGAAGTGACTTCACCTCATATAATTTAATGAGGGCATCCCAAATCTCCTTTGCGTAATCTTTCTCCGCAACACCGGATAGAACCGAGTCCGCCATTGCCAAGTGTAAATTTGCAATAGCGTTGCCGTCAATTTTCTTCCAATCTTTATCCGTCATTTCTGCAGGTTTTCCCTCAATTGCTTCTGCGCAATTGTCCTTTCTCAAGATTGCCTTCATCTTCAATTTCCACAATGAGAAATTGTTCCCGTTGAACTTCTCTATCTCGTACTTTGCTGCCATAGTTGTGTTTCCACTTATGCAACTCTCACTTATGAATAGTATTGTCTACTCGGAACAATAGTAGTAGACCGTGAACCAATACACTAGGTAAGTTCCCGGAAAGAGAGGTGAGTCACTAATGGACACACTTAAGTACCAAGTCTTTCCTAGCCGAACTTTCCCAGCACAACAGCTTCACACTACCACACCTTTTCCAAGAATAACTCCTTTCCGATGTGGAAGATCGGATTAAACCGCAACCACGAGAGCATACTCGAATTTTACCAACACTATTCTAGTGACTAGCGCAACGGAACTCGAACGCAGCTCTGATACCACTGTTAGGATCAGAGTACCAGCATAAATATACACAACTAAAATAGAGACGAGAAAAATAACCCTGACAATAGGCAAAAATGAAAATTTTATAATGACCACTCTTTCCTTTTACAATTGGAAATTACCAATACTAGGAAAGTAAAAGAGAAAGAAGGAGAAATTTTGGGATGTATGAAATAAGGGGGGAGGGGCTCCTTTTATAAGAAGGAGGAGAGCCCCCAATTGAAGTTCCCACGGATGTGGGACTTCTTCCTTCACATTTATCTCCTCTTTCCTAATGGGCAGGAATTGATCCAGCATCCTACCATTAAAAAGTTCTGACATGCAAAGCTTCTTCATGAACTTCCAGTAGGGTCCATAAGGGGCAAACCCCAGATCAGACGAGTTATAAGTGAGATATCTGATAGCAACATTTGCTGGTCTGTTGGAGAAAGAAAGTTCATGTGTTTTGAAGATCTCTTTGGCTATTTCTGCTGAGGAAACAACAACAATGGGAGTGGAGCCAAGGTAGAGGTGAATCAAGGGTCCATAACGATTTGAGAGCTTCTGAAAAGATCTGTGAAGTGGTGGTTTTACCAAGTGGAAGTGTCCAATAACTGGTAAAGCCAAAGGACTAGGAGGAAGACGAAATTTTGAAGGTTTGAGTATGGCTTGAAGCAATATTATTAAGGCTAGGAAAATAAGGAATATTGGTATGTATCCTTGAATATCATCCATTGTAATGCATGGTATACATGGTTGAATGATCAGGACTATATATGTACATTTTTTGGATGGTGAAATTTTATGTGAGGAGTTAACGAGGAAGCATGACGTAGGTTTCTTAGTTGGAGAAGGCATCATGAAACTTTGTTTTATAGTTCAGTCAAATCCACTACTTCTCATCATGTATTGTCTTATGTGAACTATAAAGAATTGTAGATACTTGTGGCGTGACATAGCTTCCGCACAAATTAATGCCGGAGACAATTTAATATCCTAAACAAAACTTACTTTGGTGGAGGTTGCACTGCAACTTTTACTGCCAAGAATCTCTATTCTGCTGCACAGAGCAGTAAGTGTAGTTGGATATATTTAGCTTCCAGGGGGATAGTGAAATACAAAGTTATAATTAAGGATTAAAAAATTGATTGTTGATAAGAGTTTAATTTACTCATCCTATCAAGCTTTACTTTTATTGTTTCTTAAAATTAAGAACTGTTCTTATTAGAAAACGATGTTCCTATCTAGTTCTTATTATTAACTCTCTCTTCTTCCTTTTTTTTAATTGTCGTCCAAAGTCATTCCAAGCAATTGAAGCCATGAAACATAAATAAGTTGGAAAATATTTATATAATTGGGCAGGTTTTGTCATATTGTTTATATTGCCTTTCTTTCTCCATCAATTTGGCAAGTCAAAAGGGTTTTGTTTCCTAGGTAATGAAAAAGTATATCCGCAACATCTATTCGGCATATTCTAGACTACAAATTTCAACTCTACTTTAACAAGAATTTTAAATATTCCAAGAAAAATTATTCATAATTGTAGCCAATTATTGTGTTAATTTAGCACCAAATTCATAATCAGATTAGCTATGTTTTGAGTAAGTGAGAATTGAAGAGTTGATATACTGAGAATAGAAAAACATATGTATTTACCTCTTTTGAGAATAAAATTTTGAAGTGTTTTTTAATCAACAGAAACTATATCATCTTGAATTTTATTTTAATCCATAAACTATATTATAATTAGAATTTATAATAAATAAATATCTTTAACCTTTGAACTTTTAAGTTTATATTAAATAAATGAATTTATGATATTATATTAATTATGGATAGTTTCTCTTAAAATATATAAGATATAATAAGGACGTAAATTTTTTATATTATTTTCTTGCTTCAAAATGTTTTTGTTCATATTATTTACTGATTCATTTCCTTTTCTACTGAGACAGGGATTTTATATTAACTTTCTTCAGACAGAAACATCATGTCATTTTATCGATTGATGTTGACATAAATATCTTTTTAACTTGATTAAATTTTTGGTTGACGTCATCAGTTTTTTTTTTTTCAAATAATCAAAGTTTTTTTAGTTACCATTAACACCATTATTTATGAACTTATATCAGCCAAATATTTTTATCGATAACATGAAATTATTTTCAAATAAGGTTTTTTATCAATTAATAAGAGTTTTTTTTATTTAAACATGACTATCTTTAGATGGATGGAACGATCCGTCCTCGAATTGACGAGGAAAATTTGACTTGATCGGGAGCGTGGCGGGGTGAGTTCGGGTTTTCCGCTTTAAAAAGTCGAGGCGGGGCGGGGATGAGTAATGCAATCTCCACCTCATCCCTGCGCCGACTTTATATTTAAATTTAAAATATTAATATTTTTAAAATATTTTATTTTCTTTTTTCTATTACATATAACATCATTTTTTTATATTTCACAAAAAAAATTTCTTCAACCCACTTTTTAATTTTTTTGTCTTTTTTAATCTTTTATATCAATTAATTTATTACATTATTCTTTCTCTTACCTTTCAGTTTTTCACATTTCCCTAATATCTCCCATCAATTTGTTTTTTTTTCAATTTTTTCAACCAATTTGATGGACACAAAATTATTTTTTTTTATTCTTTATCTTTTTCTAAATATTTTACATAAATTTTAGTAATAGCTAATATTATTTTATTTATAATTTATATTTATTAGGTTTTATTATGTCATATTTTTTTATCTTATTATTCTTATTTATCATATATCAAATTTTATCTTAATAAAATAATTGTATTTTAAAGGATTAAAAGAATTGATAATTTAAACTTTTATTACTTCAATCTAATTGAATAAGAATTAACTTATTAAATATTTCCTTATAAACTATATATTTCATATTTTTAAATGGCAACTTAAAAATGAATTAACTTATATATATAATCAAATGTTTGAATACAGTATTATAATAATAATAATGTTATAAATATTCAAATATTTGAATACAGATGTTATAATAATAATAATGTTATAAATAAAAAATAATTAAATATGTCTTTTACATACATATTTTAATATAAATATAATAAATTAAAATATATATTTAATTAATAATAATTATAAAATTATAAATATTTATTTATATATAAAAAATAGATAGTAAAATTAATTTATTATAAATGTAATTATCTTTTTAAAAATAATATAGATCGGAGACGGAGAACCCGAAACCTAACGAGGACGGGGATGAAAACTTAATTTCTAATCTCGACGGGGATCAAGAATAGGGATCGAGGACGAGAGATAGTTAAAAAAGTCGGGGTGGGAATCGGGGCAAAGCCCGCCTCTACCCCGTCCTTTGTCTAGATTTCCTCGTTTAATGTTTTTAAGGTTAATTTTTTTTTATATGTATAGAAATTAAATTATTTTTAGATAGAAACTTTCACTGTTATTTTTTTTTTCAAAGTTAATTAGAATTTATTTGACTGTCATCAAGATAAACTTTCAACTAATTTTAAATAGATTTGTATTTTTCAAAGTCAATGTTCAACAAATTGAAATTTCAATAAAAAATCTATACCAACAATAGAAATATTATTAATATTAATCGAAATAATTGTGATTCAGATAACTAATAATCTTTATTAATATTAACTTCTTATTTTTTTAACTTTGGTCAACAAAATACCTAGATAAAAAATATCATTTATTGACATTTTTAATATTATTTTTGTATTTAATGATAATTAAAATATTATTATACATAAAAATTTAATAAACTTAAATTATCTTATTAAAATAAAATATTTTTAAAATAAAACAATTTAAAACAAAAACAATTTAAATTTAATATATTTGAATTTTTAAAAATGGTAAAATATCGTCTCCATGACACTCTACTAATGGTGGGTTCTTATAACCAACTCACCGTTTAACTATCACTTTAACTCATCATTTAACTATCATTTTTAACTTGAATGAGATTTACTATACCCTATAAGTAATAATTATAATATATAATTAATTATTAAAATAGAATAAATAATATATTTAAAATAAAAATAAAATTAACATTAGAAATAGGATTAACATTAATTAAAATATAAAATATTAAACAACAATGATAACAAAAATAAACAAAAAAATATTAGAAATATGAAAAAAATTGGAAAAAGCAACGGTTAGAAACATTATTTCTATAAAATACGGTGCTTAAATTTTAAAAAATTATTATTATCACGTGGAATTACTCTAACACAGTTTCTTATAAGCATGTTGCTTGTAACCAACTAGGACCATAGGTAATTCCACTAGAATTTGCTTTAAGAATTTTCTCTCATGAAACACATTTAAACATTTTTTTCCACAAGTTTCATCCTTAAGCTCGAGTTTTGAAAGATTCCAATAATTCTGAATTTAGATAAAAACATTTACGATGAAGTAATAAAACATGTATTAAAATGATTTTAAGATAATTATGGAAAAAAATTAACAAATTTATCGCACTATCACGTGATTAGATTTACGTCTAAAATTACTTTACCCTCTCCAATAATCTTCTACCATAAACAGAAACAATTATTTTTTTACAGAAAATATTCTAACAAATTTATATATTTATATATTTATATATTTATATATTTACATATTTATATATTTATACATTTATATATTTTTATATATATTTATATATTTATATATTTATATTTTATATATTTATATATTTTTACATTTTTATATTTATATATATATATATATATATATATTTATATATAATTAAATATTTATTTTTAAAATTATTTAATTTAAGAAATTATTATAAATTAATCTAATTATGATTAAATTAAATTAAATTATTAAATAAAAAATATTTAATTTTTTATTTAGGTGAATATTTATTAATATCTCGTCGGTAAATTCATTCGTAAATTACCGACGGATATATCTGTCGATTAATTAATTATTATTTTACTAACGGATATATCCGTCGGTAAGATCAATACAAATATCGTCAGTAATTTACGTCGGTAATAATTATTTTTCGATCGGTTACAAATTCATCGGTAATAATTATTTTTCGACGGTTACCAATCCGTCGGTAAATATCCGTTGATAATATTTGTAGTATTTTTTTTTACGCAACTTTTCATAATATATTCAAAGTTAAACTTATTATAGAAATTAGTTTCGGGTTCACTAAATCACGTTATGACTACTATAATAACATGATAATTACCTTTCCTAAAATATTTAATTAAAAATAAACAAGATTGGCTATCCCAAAACTTCAAATACATATTATTATTTTTTAAGTGGAATTAATTAATGTTATAAAATGGTTATTTATTTTAACTAAACTTTTAATATTCTAGATTTTTTTTATCAATAGTGGAATATCAACTCATATTTATTTCAAAACTTATTTTTTAAGTGGAAGTCTCTTCACCTATACATTATAGAAAACTTATTTTTTAAGTTTTGATGGGAAGGGGAAATTGGGTGAATATTCCCTGATGAAACACAAAACCAGCACAAAAGAAAAATATAACAAAATCTTTCTCCATCTTATTATACTAAACTTTCTCATTTGAAAAGATGTTTCAATTCCAACACATGACAGAGAATAATCTATCTGCCTTGTCGTCTCTTGTTTGTATGATTGCTATGATCGACATTGCCCATTTTATTCTTCTCTGTGGATTTGTCTTGCAATAACTCCATGATTGCCAA